GCTTTGTTAACTTTGCAAATATACCCAGGTGAGCAGGGCTTGCCTCTATCTCTCAGGATTTTACCATGTTTCAGAATTTTAATTTGTATAATCTCAGCATCTGACTGTCAGGGTGAAATTGTAGCTCTAAGATATTATCCCTTTGGATCCTGAGAGAATGCAGGACATCTGTCATCTGAACAGTGCTATCCTCCATTCTAATCGCCTTGTCTGGGCTGGTATGGAGATTGTGGGGTCCCCAGGGAGCGTTGCCGCTGCTAGCCCAGAACCTCATCCTTCTTGCATCCTCTTCACGTTTGTTCACTGTTGCAGCTACAAATTAGCAGAAGGCCTTCCCGTCTTCCATCTCTTTTTTTTTTTTCCCTCATCCTTTTTCACACCTGCAGAGTCATTTAGTTGATTTCAGTAGCCTTGAATCATAGCACCATTAACAGTTTACTTGTTCCTGTAGGTATGTTTGTGTGCTAGCAGGAGAGGATACTAATATTAAGGTAGAATTCCCCTGAGCTGATACGTGGTAACAGCTTGTGTGACAGACAGCTCTGATTATATTTGAAATGCAAAGGAGAACAAGTTAGCTTAAACTGCCATTAACATGGTTTATATTATATGAAAGCTAAGATGGATATGAGATGTTGAACTGTAAGATACTGTGGTATTTTAGGCTCATCAGTAACAGGAGGAACAGTGTTTAGACACAAATGCCTTTGAATGGAAAACAGTAAAGTACAGTTGTTCTTTGGGTTAGAAATGAACAAATGAACGGTCATAGTATCAGGAAACCATTCACTTCGAAATGCAAAAACTGACAAACATCACTTTGTTTCTGTTGTGTTTTCTTTATGTTCTCTTTTGCTCTCTAAGCTGTAAGACAAAAAAGCAGATTGTCGTAGCTGTGTATGAGGCAGTAGCTGTTACTTGAGTTTTTGCTGAATTTTTAAATAATGTAATTAATTGTTCCTTGAAAGCAAATTATGTCTTCTCTAAGCATTTAGTAATGGTGGGAGTATCCTTTCTGAGTATCTCAAACGCTTGAGTCTTGATAGTTCATTTTCCCTCCTCCTCCCCAGTTGAAGGGAAATTAAGCAAATAAATTTGCAGACGTGGCCGTGTATTTAAGTGATGCAACTCTATTGATAGCTATGCTGTCAGTTTTGAAAAGCTTTTTTCCTTCTCTTACTCTTAAGCTACCCAGTGTGGAGGAATGGGAAGGGCATTATGTGTGCCTTGCAAGTTTTCAACAAGCTATTGGGAAGAAAAAAATTAGTGTACGCATGCTTGTACATGCGAAATGGAAATTCAATTCCAGTCAGTGCTGAAGCGGTGTAATTCCGTCGTCCAAATGTTTATGGAAACCAAGAACAAATGGCACACGGTTGCATCCTCTGTCCCTCAGCAATGATCTTTCATGTGGCACGGTTATTGACAGAGGTCTGTGGAAATAAATGTGTTTTCATCCATGTGAAAAGGATGGAGAAATGCTCTTTTAATTAAATATTTTCCTATTTGCAATGTTTTGCTATTACACTGGGGCCCCAGTATTGTACCTTGCCCAAGTTCATTTGAAGTTTACCTGAAAAGTTAGTAATTGTTGTGATATTCGTTTTGGTGTGACAGCAGTAAGACCTCTAGAAGAGACTGGGGTGAGCGCTGAGAGTGTAACGGAAACAAACAAAATCTGGTGTGTAGATTTCTTTAAGATCAGCAACATGGATTTGGAGACTCTGAGAAGAACCTATCAGAGTTCGAAACCAAAACTAACAGTGACAGGCTCTGTTGGATAATTGCCTTACTCAGGGCAAAGCCTTTGAAGTAAAAGAATGAATTTTAGATGAGTAACGAATTTTAGAGCAGAACAACACTGATGCTTCATCATCCTGATATAGGAAGTGACTATTGTATTGATGTGGAGATAGTTTGTGATTTGATCATGTGTCATCTTGGTTTGGGGATCTGATCAAATAAGATTAATTGAGTAACACTGCTAGTTCATTGCTTTAGGGATTAGATATAAATTATGAATGTGACAAGGAGAATTATTCATCTCCCTTTTCTTATAAAAGTCTGCAATATATTGGGCTTAAGCCCTAGGTTTATTGTGTTTAAGTTCTGCTCAGTTTTTGAGAAAAAATGATGAACAAAACATACAGAGTGGCTTTTTTCCTTTCCTTTATTTATTTATTTATTGGAATGTGGGTTTAAAGGGAGGAGGCAAATAAGTAAATGACTGGAAGACTGTCTGCTCTATCTACAAAGCTGAAGTGTTTGCCACTGACAGCGGGCGTTCTGCTTAGAATGAACTCCAAGCTGAATCAACCCGTCTTGAATTTTGCAAATATTTCTTGATGTTGGTCTTTTCTATCAAAGCTCCTTACAGCTCAGAAGGTTTTAACAAAACGTGGCTCTAAAAAACAAGCAGAACAACTCCATAAAAAATAAACTGTTAGTCTTCCCATTGATACAGTAATAAGATTTTCACAGGAATGCTGTGTTATGCAGAGTGCATTTACTTATCAGGGCGCTGGTGTGTTCTAACCAGATCGTACTGGTTGCGGTCCTCTGTGTCCATTCTGTCAACGTGTCTTTAATTGCTGTTGAAAGGACTGAGGCAATTGCATACGTTAATTATCCAAATGACTGAGATGCTACAGACTGGATCTCCTAGGCTGTTTTAATTGATTTTAAGACTTTCCTGGACTAAAAATAACCACTCGCAGGAGCTGCAGTAGTTTAGAAGTCCCACTGTAGGCGGCACAGAATTCCTCAAGCCAGCAGTTCATTGGGTCAGTCTGATTTAAAAACAAGTAATTTTGATGTGTGCAGGATTCTAAATTTAGAGTGACAAAACAAATTTTCTCCCATATATCTTCATACCACATGACTCACTGTCAGGTATCTCATGAGTGAGGATGCAAACAAGTCATGGCAGCTCTGGCTCACCCAAGCCTGAGTACGCTCATCTCACTTGTTTTAAAAAGTCACTGTGTCTGTAGTTCCAGAGGAGCTGACTATAGTGAGGCTCACTGAGGAATGCAGTTAATCTGCTGACACTTTACATAACGTTGGTTTGAGAGTCAAGGCTGTTAGTGCTGAATATTGTCTGCATTGTTCTGATTAATGACATCAGAATAAAACAAGCTGCAAATGTGTTTGTCTAGCCAGAGGTAGCCGGGATTATTTCCTATCTATCAGGAGGGTAATATTAAAACGCAGTCTCTCGGTTCCAGGCTTAGTATGAATAATTGAGCTAACTAAATGCAAGTATCTCTCTTCGAAAGTGGAAGGAGTTTTAAGTCTAAGGCTACGCAGTGTGAATCAGATGCAGTTTATCTTTTTTTCGCATCACAAATATCCAAACCTATTTCAGAGTCAGTCACGGTATTGTACTTAAGCTTGAATTTCACAGTGTCAGTGTCCATAAATATCTTGTTTTCTGTGTTTTGGAAAAAAAAAAAAATCCTTGCCCTGTGTCTGGTTCATGAGTAAATTTAATGTTTCTCATTCCTGTTCTGAAGTGACATTTCCTGTTTGAATGAACAGCTACGTTTATTGGGAATGTTTGAAATGAATTCTCTAAATCAGGCAGTTAGAATTAAGCAGTGCTATGCAGTGAGAATGGTCATTCCAATGAGATAATTGACAGAAAATAGAGTATTAATCATCCGAGGCAACCCAAGAACCCAAGATCTTGGCAAGGTCAGTTTCCTGTTCTTAATCACCAGCTCCATGGAGCAGTGGCATTATGTCTTTTTAACATGGAAAAATAATATCCTCCAAATAAGCTTTCCACTTTTCCCTGGCCTCTCAAAATTCAACTTAGTAGTGATTATTCAGGCTTTATGGAAAAGCAGTTTATAATAGAGCGAATAGGAAAATACAGAAGCCACGTTTGGGGGCACTAAAAATGAATGAGCAGGCAGAGAAAGGCATATGCAATGGACATACACGCTTGGGCCATGCTTTGACTCTTGAAGAAACTACGTGGAAAACTCTCTGCCTTCCGTGAGTGTATCATCAGCTGCTTGAGGACAGATGTGCAACATGTTGAACTTCTGCATCCTATTGAAGTCTTCAGCATCATATGCACAGCTACTCATAGTATAGAACCTGGTGTTACAACCATTTAATTCTGATTTTCATCTGAAAACTATTACATATTTTGATTTGTATCCTGCAGTGAATTAAGCTTCACTAGCGACCATAAAATCGTCATAAAGTAGGGTTTTTACACACTGATTCCACAGATCTGGGCAAGGTTACAGCTCTGTAGTGCTACTTTTCATTAAAGCACAGAAAGTTTATAGGAATTTGTGTGTTTCATGAAAATTAGTCTTTGGTTGGGAGTAATGCATTTGTCAGATCATGAAAGCGACTCTTCTGTTCTTAGAAACGTAGAACTTGCAAAGATTTTCTGAGCTATTGAGTACTATCCAGGAGTCAGGTCAGCTTATAATTCCTCTCATGAACTGACCCATCTGATTGTTTTGCAACTCCGGTTGGAAGGCTCTGAAGACCTTTATCGTATGCTTAGGGAAGGCTTTACTGCTCATGTGAATGAATGTGTTTGCTCTATCTAACCAGTGATGAGGAGACCAATTCCTGTGTTTCTTATCCTACTTCAAAACGAATATAAGTCTGGTCATATTCAAGTAAGATCCCGATTGCAGTGCAAACGAGGACAGAGTCAGGGTAAACACCTTAGCCTGCAGTCACAAAGTAGCGATAATGGCAAGCACAGATCAGTAGCTGAGAATGTGTATCACAACCATAAAGTGGGAGAATTCTCTAGCTTCCTTTAACCGTTGGCTTTTTAACAGCCGCTTCCCAGGTTAAAGAGGGTTT